TATAACTGCATTCAAATATCCACAGATTTTAAACAAAACTGTCAGGTGCGGTATGATAACTACACTCCAATTTTCACAAGCAGATTCTCATAGGTACATATTGATTACTAACTTCACATATCCATACAGCAGAGACTGACAGCAACAGCTTGGTAATAACCCTCCCAGTGTCACACAGCATGAACTGACAGGTGCAGAGTAATAACTGCATGCATATCAACAGTGCAGAATCTGACAGTTACACATTGATAACTACACATGCACACTCTCTCACACACACCCTGAGCAGAAAATGACAGATATAGATCCATAACTAAACATACAAATTGACATTGCAGAAACTGACAGGCCAGATGGATAACTACAGTCATATCTTCTCACAACAGAAACTGACAGGGACATGTTGATAACTAGTCACACCACTAATATTGTGGTAATAGTGATGGATAGATTCATGACACTCAGATGTTCACATGACAGAAACTGCCAAATAACTACATTCTCATTCACATTGCACTTACCAACAAAAACAGGTTAATAACTACAATTTTCGATATCAGAAAGTATGAGGTACAAATGAATAACTGTGCTGAAACATTCACCTAGCAGAAACTGGCATTACAGATCAGTAACTGAACTCAAATGTTGAAATAGCAGAACCTGTCAGGTAGAGACTGAAAGTGCTAAAATAAAAACTGACTGGTACAGATTGATAAATAAAATCACATTCAAATTTCAGAAACTGGCAGGGACAGATTGGTAAATACGCTCACACATTCACACAACAATAACTGTCCTAGAAAGATGAGTAAGCACACTCGTATTCACAATGCAGAAATTGATAAGAGCAAATTGATAATTACACACCCAGTTTCACAGCAAATTAACTGACAGGTACAGTTTTGATAACTACATTCACATGTTCAGACAAGAAACTGACAGGCATGTATTGACACTCACATATGCACCTAGCAGAAATTGACAGGTCCAGATCAATCTGGACATAACAGAAACTAAGAGGGCCAGGTTAATAACTACAGTCACAATCTTGAATTGCACTAACTGACAGGGACACATTAATGACAACAATTACATTTCCACGTGATAGAAACGGACAGGTACAGATAATAAATACATTTCCATATTCTCAATGCAGAAACTGAAAGAGAGGCTGTGAAATGAACATAAACATATGGATAACCAAACTCTCATTCACAGCAGAAATTGGTACACACGTACTTAGCAAAGACCTGATAGTGACAGATTGATAACTACAATTACACATTCACACAGGAGAGAGCTTCGGGGATAGTCTGATAATTACACAAGCATAATCACTGGAGGAACTGATTGGTACAGATTGATTACTCCACACTCACATTCGGTCAGCAAAAACTGATGGACAGATCGTGAGGGAGTAATAATCATTCACCTGGTGGAAGCTGAAGTGGCAGATCGAAAACTGCATTCCCATTTTTACACAGCCAATAATGAGAAATAAAACTAACCCTTCGTCAACCTGAAATTCTGAACAACACAATATCATTCACACTGTAATCAGGGACTCATTGATAGTGATAAAACAAAAAAAAAATCTACACGGAAGAGATTGTCACAATTAAAATTTGCAAAAGGTACTGTGTTCAAAATATTCTTAAATGACAATAATCAGTGTGCATACAACTGACGTGTTGACAAATAAAGTTCAGAGAAAATCCATGAAAAAACAATTATTGCTAGAAACTGAAATGCACAAAATAACATCCACACTAATTAAGTGCAAAGCAAGATTCCAGGAACTGAAATGTCGGCAGAAAGCTGCTGACACTGATTGAAGAGCCTAAGGGATAGAGAGTAAAATTTGTGTAATCAGCAGAAAGCGAAAGGCACGGGTCACAGTACATCAGTTCTCTTTTGTCATCGAGGTAATCCGAGTAAAACTGACACCGACACACGCTGGCAGGTATTCCGAGGAAAGTATGAATAGTTTAGGCCTATACTTATTGGAGATTTGAAGAAGGACGTCAAACCTTTCGAGGAAACGAAAAC